TGTCCTGTTGGTTTTAATCTTGCGAGGTCTTAAAGTTGCATATCGTCTGAAAGGCACCTTTATTAGGAATGGAATGGCAAACAGAAAGTATGCCACAACCTTACTAAGGTCACAAAAATGCCCTTTACAAAAAACCCTTACAGACACCATATTGAAGGAATGGTATTCTAAATAAATGTAGGAAATCAACAATGTTCTCCACACTTTTCCACTCCGAAATATATCCTATCGAATTCGCCACTTTCTTCTGCACAAGACAATGCCTAGTTTGGCTGCCGAAACTTGCCTGAACACGGAATATTCACATTAGAGTATCTTAACACCCCACTCGAGGAGCGCTAGGGCAAACAGCACGATATAGGTATGTTCCGGACATAGGCGAATAATTTTACTTCGTGATTTATATGATGCATATTTTCTGAGACACATTCATTAGGAATAGGATGACAAGCGTAAATTATACATACCGTAACCTTATTAACCATCGCACTTGTGGGGAGGGGGAGGGGGAAGGGGTCGGATAAAACCCCATGGTTTTCCGCAAATTACTCGCGCAAAAAGCGGCCGATCGCGTTGAAACTTTCGGTACCCTCGAGATCATCAATTTTACATCTAACCTAAAAATTTCATGACTCTGACCCAACTGACCTTTGACCTGTGGCATATTTCTCGAGACCATGTTTGGCCGGAATCGCGATTCGGCGTATGCCAGCTCACATTATCCGCGGTTTCCAGTCTTTTGTGGTTTTAAACGTTCAAATATGTGAAATGATGTTGGTGCCATGCATAATGGTGGGTGTCAAGGTCACGTGAAGGTCAAGTCAAGGTCATTAACCTTTTGATGACTTTGGTTCACTTTTTCGAGTTTTACTTGTTTCAAGGGCAGTTTTTGGTGCTGATTTCGATTTTAGCAGCCATTTGAATATTTACGAAGTAGTTCTAGTGCCTTCGTTCCATGTTACGAAGCTATCAGTAGTAGGTGACACTTCTATGGATGGCCGGCAGGACGCCTACTAATTGATCTAACCTGACCTGACCCGACCTGGCCTAAATGCAAAAAGACATCGTCTGTGATTAAAACTAACATGAAATTCGTGATCAGCACCCCAAAATACCCCGTAACACCCTAACTTTGCGAAGTTTCAAGAGGTCTCGATTTCCCAACTTTAGTTGGGTCATTAACCTTCCAGGCGGCGGTGGGGGGGGGGGCAATTTTTTGCCCCCCCCCTTAGTTTTTTCGATATATCTCGAGAACCGCTGCGCCGATCGTCACCAAACTTTCAGTACCCTCCCGGGAGCAGCTAGCGCACATGGTGACCAAAAATTTTTCCAATGGCTATGATAGGTTGGCCGCTAATGACGTCAGAGTGACGTCATTTTTGCCATTTTCGACCCAAAAAAAAAAAGATTTCGCGGGAAGAGCTGTCAGGCCTACAGCTTTAGAGATACATAAAAATGTTTTAGACATAAAAGGTGTGGAATCAAAAGGGCTACAAAACTGCTATTTCGGTTTTTCGATTTTTTTGGATTTTGGCCCCCAAAAATCAAAAAATAGATTTTTCGAATATAATAGCCGAAAAATCCAAAAAGTTTTTTGAATTTCGAAAAAACCGGAATATATATCCCTACCTCTTCTATCCCTACCGCCTTCTATCTACATACCAAATTTGAGATCGATACCTCTTTTTTTTGGCCAAGTTATAGCGAAAAAACTGTTCAAAATTGATGACGTCAAATTTTCAAACTCAATTTTTAGCAATTCTAGACCTCGTAGCGCAAAACAAAGACCACCATTAGACTCCCCGTGACGAGCTGCATCGATTTGATACCCATTTTATGCAAAAATATCAACTTTGAAATTTGACCTTTTTTGACCTGACCTTGGCCTGACCTCCACCAGAAAGTGACCTTTACCGTACCTGATGGTCTTATAACCAACACCATTGAGTTGGAAATGAAAAACTGGCCATAAAACATGCATCGCATAACCTTAGTAAAGTTGGGCTCATGTGGTGACCCAGGGTGACCTTTGGTGACCTGACCTGTGACCTGACCTGGTATGACCGGTGACCTCTAATAGCAACATATGTACTAGACAACTGACGCTTCATCGCTGATTTTCGACAAAATGCGTTTTACTCGGTGTTATAGCGCTTTCCCTAGAAGCCCCGTGAACGGTGAAACATTTTGTATTTGACCTGACCTGTGACGTCATTGGTGACCCCGAGGTCAATGAAATTTGGTTTCCCTTGACAAATTTGACAGGGCTATCGAACGCCGTTTGAATTTTCCGGATCCGTTCAGTAGTTTCGGAGATACGGGGGGGGGGGGCAAAAAAATGCCCCCCCCACCGCGCGGAAGGTGGCTGGTAGGCCCGCCGCCTGCCGGGTTAAACTGACTTGGAAAGTCAGCTTATGACCTTGGACTTTGAAATTGGATATATTCGGCCTAATTTCGTCATAGGCAGCACGCTTGACTTTTCCGCGAAGCTCTAGCTTGATCAGGGGCCAAACGGCTGAGCGGGGGGTCCAATTGAACCCCCTATACTATGTTGATTATGCACATTTACAGGTAAAATTCTCACCAGGATACACCAGCCAACATCTGTGCACAATCTGGCTACAATTCTACCTATGGTTTGCCCTCTACGAATAAATACGTGCTAGATCGGAAAAATCCCCACTGTGCGACGGGGGGGGGGGGCGGATGACCGCCCCCCTGAGATCTCGAGAACGAAGCAAGATAGCGACAAGCGGTAAACGGCATCGGATACGCACGGTCAAGATCTACAATTTTTACTAAGGTCATTTTCAGGTCAGGTCAAAGATGACGTCACAGGGGTCGAAAAAGTCAAAATGGCGGCGCTAGATATGGAGAGGGTTTTTCTCGAATAACTTTCGAATTAGTCAAGATAGGAACAAACTAAGGGCATTATCGTGATCCTCTCGTCAATCCCCATCGAATGATATATATGTTGACCTCGAAAGGTCAAGGTCAAAGGTTGACCTCAGGTCACGTGACCTCGAGGTCATCATGTATATCATTCGATGCGTCTTGACGAGCTGAACACAATGAGACCATCCACGCGGCTGTATCTTGTTCCTGTACGGAGTTATTGGCCAAAAACCTTTGGTGACCTTTGATGACGTCACATGACCTCACAGCTGCCCAACAGCAAAACAGACCTCAAGGTAGTGAAGGTTGATCATATATGAAGTCATGTATGGTATATGGGGCCGTTCGGACCCGTTTTAGTGGTAAAAATAGGGAGTTGATTTTTCCCCATTGACTTATAATGGGGATGTCGCGAAATTGACCTGACCTTAGGTCACCGATATCAAAATTCCGAGATATACAAATTGTAGCTACTAATGACCTTATAACATCCTGCGACTTTCAAAGGCCTCCGACATCTACTGTAGCTCTGACACGGTGACAAAGTTGCAAAAAAGTGACTTGAGGTTGGGTCATTCAAAGTGACCTGGTGACCTGACCTTAAAAGGTAGGAGGTTCAAACTTGCACACCATGTGTAAAATTGATGAGAGAATAGTCGTACCAAATTTCGCGGCGCTACGCGCCGCGGTTTTCCCGCTATTTGCGAAAAACCTCAGGGGGGGGGGGCGGATATCCGCCCCCCCGTCGGTGCGCGGGTTAAGAGAAGAAAGCTTTTCTCACGTTCTGTCTCGAAGTTTTCTTTGAATCAAAACAGACCCGACTGGAGTGGACTTTCCTTCTGATAGGTGTACGAGAAGGATGAATGCGCATTTGCTCACCATACCACTTTGTTTTCTGCATAACCCTTTCGGTCTGACAAGACCATTGCAGAGCCGGAAGGGTGATAGGAATTAGGGGAGACATTGGTCTGGGCAGGCACCCTTGTGAGTCACCGGGGCTGAGCCCGTCCAGAGGACAGGCCGATCAGCCCCTCAAGCACTCACTGCACCCTGCTACGGGTGTGCTCCCTTGGGAGCAGCGGTGCCGCTCCAGGGGAGCAGCCCGCATGAGATAAAGGTGCCTGTCCAGCCCGGAGAGAGGGTTGCGGCGTGGATGAGAAGGATTTGAACATCCTGAGGACGGAAACGACGGACGGGTGTGACCTCAAATGACCTCAGTGACGCTGTAAATGACGCCATATGAAGTATGAACTGAAGTCCATTACATGACTGACCTTTTACCAGGTAATCTGTGCAAATATAAGAGAATCACAGATTTAAATTACACAGAAACCCGAGACCTTCCGAAAGCTAGTCTCGCTATGAAACATTCTTGTCGTCGAATGTTGCAAAAATCATTTTGTAGGATCGTGCCGATATATTTTTTATTTGAAATTATAGGTCACTAAACTGACCGGACCAGAAAAAAGGTAGATGCCGAAACGTCCAGCCTAAGTAAAGGTCGGGCGGCATATGTAACAGGTGGTTTTAGATGTAAGGTATCCATTATCCAGCGTTTTCTGAACAATCGAGAAAAAAAAAACGCCAGGGGCGCTATCAATGCAGTCCCGTCGGGGAGGGCTACCAGAAAGTAGAGCGGGCAGCGATTGTCAGAATGGTGGCTGGTATTTCCCTGGTTTAGACATCGCAGTACAGGTAATAGCTTTTCTTATTGAGTAACATGTAATGCTTTTATCTTACCTTAATTTATTTCCTTTTGTTTTGTGGCGACTCCCGGATCCGCTTTATTTGAACGGGAGGCTGTGCATTAATTCGCAGTTCGGTGTCCGTCCCACTGTTGGATACCGATGTCCTGGTATTGACATTATTTGCGGTTTTTTTACTGCTCTGGGTGGTGACATTTAAGCTCCGAATATAAAAGCTCATTTTACCTGCTTCACAGAAAAGGTGTCGTATAAAAGTGCACCCTATTGAAGGCTTTTCCCGAAGAGGTATCATTAATTGACTTAGCTTTCGCCAGAGTAGCGGGAAGTGCCTGCCATCGTCTTGTGGCGTTACCGCTCTTTCATTTTTACGAACCTCATTAGCGTGTTGTTACCTTACAGGCCCGGAACCACGTACCGGCTCAGCAGCAGAGGGAGGCCAGGACGGCAGCGGATCGGCAGCCGGGTCGCGTCGCGCCCCAGCCAGCCCGCAGTCCGGAGAAGCAGCGGCAGGCGGCCCAAAAGGTCCCTCAGCCAGCGGCGGCGGCGGTCAACCGGGCTTCCCCGGGCGGCGGTGGCAGTCCCCACCGACAGAAGGTCAGTTCCCTCAGTCCCCACCGACAGAAGGTCAGTCCCACCGACAGAAGGTCAGTTCCCTCAGTCCCCACCGCCAGAAGGTCAGTTCCCCTCAGTCCCCACCGACAGAAGGTCAGTTCCCTCAGTCCCCACCGACAGAAGGTCAGTCCCACCGACAGAAGGTCAGTTCCCTCAGTCCCCACCGCCAGAAGGTCAGTTCCCCTCAGTCCCCACCGACAGAAGGTCAGTCCCCCTCAGTCCCCACCGACAGAAGGTCAGTTCCCTCAGCTCCACCGACAGAAGGTCAGTTCCCTCAGCCCCCACCGACAGAAAGTCAGTTCCCTCAGTCCCCACCGACAGAAGGTCAGTCCCACTCAGTCCCCACCGACAGAAGGTCAGTTCCCTCAGTCCCCACCGACAGAAGGTCAGTTCCCTCAGTACCCACCGACAGAAGGTCAGTTCCCTCAGTACCCACCGACAGAAGGTCAGTCCCCACCGACAGAAGGTCAGTTCCCACCGACAGAAGGTCAGTTCCCCACCGACAGGTCAGTCCCCACCGACAGAAGGTCAGTCCCCTCAGTACCCACCGACAGAGGGTCGGGTTCTCTCATTACCCACCGACAGAAGGTCAGTTGTCCTCAGTACCCCACTGACAGAAGGTCAGGTACCCCCCCCCCCACACTCCCCACCGACAGAAGGTCACTCCCCACCGACAGAAGGTCGGGTTTCCCTCAGCTCCCCTCCCCCTCCACTGTCAGAAGGTCAATCCCCATCGACAGAAGGACGGGTTTTCCCCTCAGCCCCCCCCCCTCCACTGTCAGAAGGTCAATCCCCATCGATAGAAGGCCAGACTCTCCTAAGTCCTCATAGTTCCCCCTCGTTACCCCCGCCAGTGGGTCTATGCTCTCAGCACCCCCGTCAGAGATCCAGTTTCCCCGCTATTCCCTCTCAGGGGCCAATTTTCCGTCGGTCTCCATCACCAGTGATCTGTTTCTCTCCAGTTCCCGCCGTCCACTGGCTAGTTCCCCCCCCCCTCCCTTTCGTGCACCGATCCCCATCTCGCCCGTGCAGTGGAACGTGCGGGGGTTGACCTGTGACTTGCTGAGGAGGGAGAGGGGGCTATCGCCCTCCTTTTTCTGCTGCGCAGCTTCCCCATCCCATACCTAGAGTAGGGATGCGGACATACCGCACAGCGTCGCTGCGAAGTATACTGAAGCCGCTTATATAACGCTTGTGATAAAAATCGTCGACATGTGTAATGACAGCAGCCGGTGCGCAAATTTACTGTTCAAACGATGACACATGTCGTTGGCTATGACAGGGATGGCAGGACAGTGCGCCAGTTTAGGTGACAGCGCTGACAGGGCCGCGCGACAGCGGTGACAGCAATCTGACCTGACTGTAATGCAGGCTGGGACAGCGCCGGATTCGACAGCGCCGCACTGCGCCCGACGCCTTTGAACGCCCAAAGTTTAACAGGCGATGTTTTGCGCCGTGTTTCGCCGTTCAATTATGACAGGCTATTGTTAGCTTTGTAGCTGCTTGCCTGCTGGGGAATTGGCTACTATGCGACGGAGTGCCTTGTAGTGCGCCCGTCCCCCGGCCCTGTCCGTGTGTCCGTGTGTCCGTGACCCCGTGTCGGCGGATATGCCAGGATGTAGTTATGTCCTTGTCTGTCCGTGACTTCAGGTCGGTCGGTACGCACTTTTAGCTGCCGGTGCATCTAGAGTGCGTTTGTTTCTGGCGTGTATTTTCTCGTGACCGGTGACCCCGTGCCGCTGCTGTCCGGATGTGAGTCCTTGTCCGCCGCTCACCGATACTTGTTCGCTCTCCGCGACACTCGGTCCGCCGTCCCTGACACTGGGTCCGCCGTCCCATATACTCGCCCCGTGTCCCTGACACCCCTCCTGGGTCTCCGTCTGCAGGTGGCGGGCTCCGGTCGGCTGGCGCACCTCGCTCGCCAGCCGGCCACGCCGCCCATGCCGCCGATGCCTCCGATGCCGCCGATGCCGAGCTGCGGGGACACTTTTACGGACATCTGGCAGGATCTGCAGCGGGCGGCGGCCGCGCCGGCCGGCGCCGCCGTGTCGCTGGGACAGACGCCGCAGGTCGGGCACGTGGCGCCCGCCCGGCAGGTGAGGAGACCCCCCCGGGGACCCGCGGACTAGACTGGCTCTCTCAGAGTAGTTCAGAAGTAGGTCCTTCAGAGCACGCGCCTGCGGGCGGGGTTTGGGGCCAACTAGACAAGTCAACAAAATAGAGCCATTACTTTCGCAGGCCATCCCGCTGAAGTTCGCGAACTTGGTATAGTTTCGTCCAATGTTATCCAAATGTCTGGCTGAATATATGGCTCTCTCTCCAGGGATGCTCTCGTGATTTCGCTCCATTTCTGAATTAATAGGCAGTGACTTAGCTGAACGATGTTCTGCTTTTTCTTTTGAAACTGCCAATAGCGTGGTTTAAAAGCGGGAACGGTGTATTCGTTTCAGACTACCTTTATCAGCTGCACTCTGGATTATTTAAATTCGTTTGCTGTGTTTCCGACTGCGCTAATCTGAGCTGTTTACCGTCATGTCTGTAGTTGTATGCCTCACTCTATTGTTATCGGCTCTTTGACGTCCGATGCTAGAACTCTGGCCTATGACGCGCAGCGCACCGTAATATTGATATGGTCTGTGCAGTGCCGCCCACGAGGTGTCTCAGTCAACTGTAAACGATATTTGCTCTATAATGGCCAATACTAATGCATTGTAGAAAACCAATTACCAAATGTCATCTAACCTTTGACAATTTGTCCAGTGACCTGAAGCATGGGAATCGGTCTTTGTCCGGTCCAATGGATGATTTCCTATCGTCCATTAGTCTCTGAGTTACTCTGTGTGTGTGTGTGAGAGAGGTCTGCTCCGCACCATGACTCCCAGATACGTGTGCTATGTAAGGAATGGGACAGGGTGGTGACTGGACGCATTATCTGATTGTGATGACCAGGCTGACCTCTGGACAGTATTATAAACACCACACTTTCCATCCTCACATTGATAACGACTCCAGCCATACTCGGAGAGCAGAAACGTTAAATTACATTGGTTCCTAATATTGTAATTGCATTTAATATATTTATTTCTTGGCCTGTTTTTATTGCTTTATTATGGTAAGCTGATTTTCTTGTCAAAGTTCTGGTTTGAATATAACTGTACACATAGACTGCTCTATATCTAACACTGTAGTACTACAACTTAGTCTATGCTTTACATAACTAGGGGACTAGGGTTATACGCGGCTAACCCTTCAGCTGACCATTTGGGTGCGGTATGGTGAGCCGTGGTGTATCCTGTCCTTGACTGCCCTGTTGAGCGCCTACCGGAGCCATGCTGGAGCTGAGGTGGCAAAAGGGAGAGCATTACCAATTATTTTTCTATAGCCTGCATCTTTCAGCCGTGAAAAGTTAATAAGACACAGCCTATTTAAAGATATTATATAAAGCCTTTCACGTGACAGCGAGCTGCGACCACCGTGCCTGGCCTCGGTGGACGGCCGTGTCACCGCCGGTGAAGGTGGAACTGTGACAGCGCGCGCGGCCGTCTGTAGGGGTGCCACCGAGCGTGTGATGTATCCGAGGCACACCGGCCGGCGCCTCTGATCCCCACACCGATATAGAGCTGTTTATGTAACGGCCGGCCGGTGGATTTGATTTGCTCCGTGCATGTGCCGCACGTGTGCCCTCCGCTCGGGTATGACACGCGCGGCTGACGCTCACAGGTGTCGGCTGCCGGTGACGCGCCGTCTCACTTTCTGGATACTTATATACTCCCTGGACATTTTCCTTTCGTTCGTAAACCAATAAAGAGACTGTCAATAATGTGGTCTTGTTCTTTCTCTCTTTTCCGTTAAATCTCTCGTCTCTCTTTTATCTCCTCTCGGCTCTCGCTCTTCTTTTTCTCCACATGAACACTCGTGTCACACACGCCGCTGCATACATTACGCCGAAGTCTTCCATACAGCGATGCAGGATTATTTTCAACGTTTATACGTCCACCCTAGGAGGTGCCTCGCTGTGGCTTCTTCTGATCCTCTATACCTAGGTATTCGTCCGAAGAATGGACTGTCGCGAGCTGAGCCTGCGACTTTTGTCTGTTGCTCATTTTTGGTAGAGTCCTACGTCCACGAGTTGACGGGCTTTGACCTGGATCTGTTAGATTCCGTCGTAAGACAGCTGTTAACGTGTGTCTCTGATGACAAGTGTTTTTGTCTGTCTCCGCTGACAGCCCGTGCCATTCTCTGCTGACAGGTGGTGCCGGTGTCGGCGGGGCCGCTGCCGGCTGGCCTGCTGCCCGTGCCCGTGCCCTCCTCTCTGTCGGCCCCGGTGACCGCTGCACCGGCCAGCGACGGCCGGGCCGTGCGCGAGGCCCCTGCTAAGGTGAGAGCGGGGCAGGGAGAGCCAGAAAGAGGGAGGTGGAAAGATGAGTGGGATGAAAAATGTGTATGTACTGCACTACCGATTGAGCTATACAGCAAATAATTTTGCATAGCAAATAATTTTGGATAGCAAATAATTTTGTGTGGCAAATGTTTTTGGTTAAGATGCGCGTTCATGTATGGCCGGACAACATCGAATTCCTCGAATGAAATTTGAAAATCTTGCAATGCAAAGAGTTTCTGTAGTTTATTGATGTTGATTCATACCTGGATCCCGGATAAATCCAATATCACAGTTCACAATAAGAACTAAACAAAGAATCATTAATCATATTTTCCATACACTTTTCACCAGACTTGCCGTGCTGCATACAGGGATCTACTTGCAGAGAATACTGTTAACCAATTACTGATACGGTCACCTATCGGGATCCACTGAGTTCCATTCAAAGATCCCGGACCTGCTCATCGAAGCAGAAGCGCACGGAACCCTATCTGTCCCCGATATAGACTCCCCATATGTCACACACATGGGCCCCAGGGGTATAATAGCAGGCATGGCTAAAGGTGGTATCGCAGCACAGCACTGTCTAAGACTTTACCGGGTGTCGCAGTCGTCGACTGTGATATAGCAATCAATACAGCCATTTCAGTCAGCCGAGCCCGACCCCCACCACATAAATACTGCGCTTACTGGGCGAAACGAAGCCATTTGGCGGCAAAGTTCTTGACTAACAGCCAATTTCGGGACGTTATTGCACCTAGGTTTGTGTGGAAGCTGGGATGAAGCAGAAGCCGTCGCGCCCAGGCGTCGGGGCGACATCCCGTGACCTCTGCCGAACACCTTTGAACCGGGCGGGGTGGCGGAATCCAGTTATGCCGCCGCTGCCCGTCGGGTGGGATGGGGACGCAGCGCCGCAGAGCTATTCCCGGGAATGATCCGATGTGTCGGCACACTGCGCTTATAATCAGACAGCTGCAAATGAACGCGGGAATAGGATCACGGCCTATTCCCGTATTGTGAGTATTGTGAGCCAGGAAACAACTGAATTGTTATTCGAATGTGATTGAGTTATTGCGGCCAATTCACGGTCGGCCGCATCTCTACGCCCGTATGTACTGTGTACAGTAGCTAGTGTCTGGCTCACGGCGTTCCTACTCCAGTGTGCGGCTGGCCCAGGTCGTTCGTTCATCCAGTTAGAAGCTGGCGAGTGCTAACGGTCGGTCATGACTTGCAGTGCCGGAGACTCGAGTATAGCCGTGTAGCGTTTGCCGGTATTTGTCCGGTCCGTATCCGGCATAGAACTAACAGCGCCCGAAGGCCTTTTGAAGGCGATATTGGATGAGGAGCTAGTAGGAAGCCTCGCAAATAGAACGGCCCCGACTTCCTTAACATAGACCTAGAGTTTTTGTATGCCAGCGACTTGCTGCTGCGTGTCTCAATATTTGGGTTGATTACGACTGTTGGTCAAACAGCAGTTTTTCTCCTATGGAGTGTTTTTGTCCGCCCGGCACGCCGACGTCGTGCCGGCTGCGCTGATGTCCTGTTGACCTGTTGTTCTGTGACTTGGCTTGCCGTGCTCACATGCCAGGTCATCAGAACTCCGCTCAGCGCAGCCGCGCGCATCGGAGACCTTGTTTGTTTGTTTGTTAGGGGTTCAGGGCTTCCATCGGAGACAATCGGCCGCTGCTCTGCCCCGGACGGTGGTCTGGAGGGATGCGACCATGATTCGCGCCTCTCTCAGCGCCTCCCTCTCCCCATCCAGGGGGACGCCGAACGGTGCGTGCCCCTCTCGGCCGCCTGTACCCCCCCCCCCCCCTCCGAGCGCACGAGGGACCCGAGGGGACCTGGTGGTGGTTCGTGCCCGATTCTGTTGGTGTGATGCTAACATTGGACGTGGGCAGCTCTCTCCAAGAAAAGAAAATGGTCCACTGCGTGGCTTATTGGCTTTATTCCCACCGAACGTCGGTGTCTTGAAATACAAAGAATATCGCAAGGCCGACACGTATAATAGGGTTAAGAAAGACTCGGATTACTGAATGCGCAACATCCATTTCACGAGAGCTTGCTAACTCTAACCTGCACTCCCCATGATGATTGTTTGAGCATCAATCCTTGTGTTCCGGAGGATCCCGGATAATACTCTGGTGTTACTCTCGAAAGTAAAACAGCAGAAATAGCATGTGCCTCCATGCGCGAGGAACTAAAGAAATTTGTGCTTAAAGAGAGTGTTTTTGATGTCGGAAAAGAGGTGAAATACAAAACCAGAGAAATGTGAAAACAGTTTGTGAATATAAAGTTAAGTTTAATTAAGCTATTAAGAAACAAGAACACAACGCGAGAACACTATCAACAACATCTGGAGCCGTATTGACCCGGATTCGCCGGTGATTAAGAAATCTTTGAACGCCTTGTGCAAATTTAAAGAGTAAAGTAATGTGAAGTAACGTAGGTAACTGGTGTCTTGAATTGGCTTTGAGTAATATGGCAGGGAAGAAGAAAAGGAGAGCTGACAATACAGAAGCTGCCGATCAAGATAACTCGGAAAGTTCAGATAAATCAGATTCAACGATGCCTCTGAAAAGGGACATTAGCAAGACTATGCGTGAATTTCACCGAACACAAAGACGACTCACTTCACTTGTAGAGAGCGGTGAGATCACAACTGGAAACTCAACCGATGCCATCGAATCACTAGAGGATTTGATCGAGCATATGCATGGACTGACGGAATCACTTTGTGAAGAAGTAAGTGATCAAGGCGAAAAGAAAGAACTTTGGCAGGAACTGGAGCAGGTTGAGAAAGAATCGCGAGAAACCATTCGGTTGACCAATAAAGCCATTCGCGAGAAGATTAACCCGCAGCCTGCAAACGCACCAAGTTCAACTGATGCGAGCACGTCCGGAACCCAAGCAAACAAAGGAGTGAGAAGAACGCAGATGGACTGGACCACGCATGGTCTAAGAAGTCCTCAACTGCCGGTGTTCTCTGGAGAGGACTATGAAAATTGGAAGATAACATTCGACGCATTTGTGGGAGACGAAGACATCCCGGAAAAATTCAAGATGATACAGCTCAAAGCCTGTCTCGGCGGTGACCCGCTGAAGCTCGTCAGCCGATACAATCCCACGGCAGCCGGGTATACAAAGGCCAGAAGCGAGCTGGAGCGCAAATACGGCGGAACGGGAAGACGGATCAGACGTCAACTTGAAGAGATCCGAGCGATGAAGCCGGTACGAGCCGGAAACTGCAAAGACTTGGATGATCTTGCTGACTGCGTCCAGAACCTAGTGACCAATTTGGAAGACAGTGGATGTGTGGCGGATCTGACCGAAATGTCAGCATACTACATTTTGGTCAAGGAGAAGCTGCCGGCATCATATTTGAAAACTTACAAGCGGTGGCAACAGGATGGGAACAGGACGGACAGCTTGATTCTGTTCGCTGACTGGCTGGCAGATGAAGCTGTATGTGAGCGGGAGGCGCAGGAGATAAGCTTGGCCGGTCAGCAGAGACCTGAAAGCAGAGGCAATGCGGAGACCGTACCGAAGAAGCCGAAAAGAGTTTTCAGCACGGAAACCGTCGGACAGCCTGAACGAAGAGCAACGTGTCTGTACTGCAACGAGCCGCACAGTCTGGATAACTGCCCGCACTTCACCCGGTGGACTGTCAGCAGTCGCTACCACTACTGCAAAACTAACAGGATATGTTTCCGCTGCCTGTCTGGCCATCATCTGGGGCGTAACTGCCGGCAGTTCAATGGCTGCTCGGTGAATTCATGTGAAGGCACGCACCACACACTGCTGCACGCTACAGCCAAGCCCGCGACTACTGGCCGTGAGGGAGCAATGGGAGGTCGGTCGGTACCTCACGAAGCTGAAGTAGCTGGTGCAGAATACGTCCCATCCACCCAGACACAGAGAAGTTCCAAGCAGTCGTTTCGCACAAAGAAGTCATCTGGAGACGCTCAATCGAACCCCGATCGAGTGGCGTTTCAGACGGTGCCAGTGAAGCTCTCTGCGAATGGGAGATCAGTCATTGTGAGTGCACTTCTGGACCCGTGTTCTGATGCCAGTTACCTGACTGAGGCCGCTGCGAATGAGCTACAGCTGCAGGGAGAAGATGAAGATGTGGACCTGGAGACGGTGAACGGAAGCTCACAAGTGAGGATGAAGAAAACTCAGGTTCAACTCAGCTCAGTGGATGAAGGCTACAAGGCCAAGCTCAGCGCATTTGTCATCAAAGATCTGTCCAGCGCATCAACAAAAATCGACTGGAACCTGATGAAAGATCGCTGGGATCATATGAAGAAGATCCCGTTCCCGACCGTATCCAGGAAAGGCGGCATTGATATGCTTATCGGCCTGACGGGCGACACCATGTCCCTGTTTCTACCTGAGGAAACCATCCAGGGGCCTCCCGGTGATCCAGTGGCGGTGAAAACCCCACTGGGCTGGACCGCCTTCGGGCCGGTCAGTGGAGCCGAAATGGAAAGCATCAAGACCCTGAGAACCCATATCCGAAGCAAGCTGAAAGTGGAAAATCAGGAAGAGATTAAGGCCATGCGAGAGATGACAGAGCTAGAAGTGATCGGTGTAAGGGAGCAGAAAGAAAAGATTCTGTCAGTTGAAGACAAAGAAGCGATGAAGAAAGTTGAGAAGATGAAGCATGAAGGAGGGCGATATGAAGTGAATGTCCCCTGGCGAAATGATGAGCCCAATCTGTCCGGAAATTTCGGATATGCGCTCAGCAGGCTGAGAAAAACGGAGGAAAATATGAAGAAACGTAAAGATGAAGCCATGGAGAAAAGGTACGGTGAGATCTTCGAAGATTACGTGAAGAAAGGCTACTTTCTGAAGATAGCCGCCGGTGATGAAAACTGGACAGCCGCCACCTGTGAAGGGTGGTTCTTGCCTCACTTTCCAGTGATAAGACAAGACAGGGCAACAACAAAGATCAGACTGGTGTTCGACGCTGCGGCAAAGTACCAGGGAAGGAG